TACACAAACTTTTTGTTCTAATTTTCATGAGCACATAGAGATGGCGCCATCATGCAGTTTTTTACATTATTTGCCATTGTAAGTGATGGTAGTTTTAATTGCTCATAATAGAGGACACCCTTCTGATCCCACCAAATACAGAGCATTACCTTGGCACAATGAATATCTTGCTTTGGCGTTGATTTGGCTCGTTTTCCGCGCTTCACATATGATTTCTTGCGCTTCGGGTTGTCGTAATGAATCCATTTTTCATCACCGGTAACAAGTCGATGCAAAAACGACTTCTTTTTGTGGCACTCAAGCAGAATTTTGGACTTGCACAATCGTCTTTCAACGTCTCTTGGTTTCAATTCATGTGGTACCCAATTTCCTTGCTTTTGAATGAATCCAAGAGCCTTTAGACGATCGGAAATGGCTTTTTGACTTACTCCCAACGATTTCGCAAGTTATTCTTGCGTTTGACCAGAAGATTCATCGAGTAATGCCTCCAATTCTTCATCTTCAAACTTTTTTGGCTGGCCAGGACATTCTTTGTCCTCCGTGTCAAAATCACCACTTTTAAATCGTGCAAACCAACGCAGACACATTCTAATGTCTACAGCATAGTCCGGATATGCTTCAGTGAGTAAACGATGTGCTTCAGTTGCATACTTCTTTAGATGGAAGAAGCAAATTAAAACTTCCCGCAAATGCTCTTTTGTTGGAACGAAATTCGACATTTTGAACGCAATAAAAAACTTGTGTGTATAAACTTGTGTTCACTTTGACAGATGGAATTTGATAGTTTTTTGACGCTATTTAAGATACACTTATTGTCACTGTCAAAGTAATGACACGCATAATGTTGTATTCTTACAAAAAAAAACGACATTTTTAACTAATACTACCAATAAATATTAAAAATGATATAACCTCGAACACGTCCTGTTCAACCAAAATAACCATTTTAAATTCGTCACCGCGTTGAATTGGACATCCACCATAACGTTCCTCTTCACTCCATATTCCATTTTCCGAGGTGTTTCGCACAATGACATTTTTGTCAAAACGTACGGACAGATGGAATATTATGTCATGCTCATTCCTATTGCTAGAATCAGATAAGCTAATCCTAAAGTAATTTATGTATGGACGAAGCATTTGACCAACGATTTCAATTTTACTGCCATTGCTAATATTTCCTGGAATCGAATGCACCACTGGAAGTTCCTGGAAGTATTTAAATCCAATCCAAATTGAAAATAATAATTAGATATTTTGGCTATATTTTTCATGTAAATATTTGTTTATTTTGTGTGTGAGTGTGTGGTTGTTCGTTTGTTTCTTTCTTAACCCTCTAGTGCATAGCTCTGCCTTAAGGCGGAGT